ACCTTCTTTTTGACCAAGAGCAATTATATTAAGTTCCTCCTTTGTAAAATGAGAAAAATAGTCTTGCTCCATGAGAATATGGAGAGTAAAAAAAAATGAATCAGTATCCACTTACTGCTTCAGTACTGAAAGAGAAGAGTCAAAGGACTGTGTGATATCTCAGGATGCCTGGTGTTCCTTATGTCATCAAATCTTAATTACATATTGAATTATTTGGTCTCTACATCACTTTAGTGGAACTGAGAGGAGCTATTCAAGGGAGAGAGTCTAGATCTGTTCTTCTCTAAGGGAAATGGAGGATGCACAGGCTCCATATATGAGGTCACCTCTTACGTGTACATGTTTCTTTGGGAATCTTCTACATTTGGTTTCTAAAAATATAATAGAACAGGAAAGTATTCCAATGTCCAGTACATACAGTTCAGATTCAACAGACTCGTTTATTGGAAAATCTCTGAAGTTTCTTCTGGCTCTTTTTAGGATCAAATACCACACACAAACTTGGATTGCAAATTAATTTTTAATTTCGTTTATCAAACTATTACAGTTCTTAGTGTGTGAGAGGGAAAGGCTCTGTTTCTACCATTTGATTCACTCTGTCTTCATGACCATATCATGTCATGTACTTGAATGAGGAGGAAACATTTAATCATTTCCATTGGTAATACACTGTGTAATTGGGAAGACAGTGTATTGTATAAAAAAAATCTTGTTTGAGATATATGTCCAACACCTTATAATCTGTGGGAGTTGCATTGTTCTTTCAGAACAGTCATTGCTGAAGGCCCATCTATCAAAAGCCATTTCAGCCGGGGACTAAAAGGGCTGCAGACATAAAACCTATTAATATTAACTCTCTCAGACAGCTCAAAGAAGCCTGTGTAGCCACAAACTGCTCATAATATTCTGAGCTAAATTCCTTCATGTTGTGAAGGTATTGACTTCAACTGAGCCTACCCCAGGGATGTATTTGACTCAAAAGTAAAATTAATTCTGCATTTAGTTAGCAAAAAATATTTGACTGCAAAGCCTGGAAGTCCAGTAGTCTGTTCCTCAAAAGGCAAGTGTTGCCAATAAGAGACACAGCTGATGTTGAGCCTTTCCCAGTCTTAGCCTAATGGGAATTACTCCTGTTGACTGGGAAGAGAAACAGTTCCAGGAAGCAAAACCATGAAGAAGTATTGGGTGCCTTTGAGCTCATCTTTGCCTTTACTCTCTGCCTTTTCCTTTGCTTTTTCTGTGGAAGTATGTTTACTATACTTCTCTCTCTCTTTTTAACTTTCACAACTTCCCTGCCGTCATCACTCAATGTTATTTCATACACTCATGCAAAAAGCTGTAGTGAAATCCTGACCTCAGAGTCATGTTTTCCTGTATTCTTTGGTATAGCCAGAGCTAGTGGAGTAGAAAAGTTTGGATCAGATTAATAGTAACAGCAGAGGCCTAATGCTGCTCCTGCCTGACCCCAACTCCCTGCCTTTTGGTCTTGACTGTAAATTCTTATAGAATATTTGGTGACATGGGAAATAAACAATGCTTTATTCTTTCCAGGCTGTGACTGGTTTTTTTTTTAACATTCTCGCATGATGGTGGCTCTCCGTGCACTAACAACTCCCCCTCATATATGCACAGATTCTAATCCATCCTGCTCTACCTCATTTCATCCTGGCTTTCTTGTACCTGATGTTCCAATGAACTCACAGCTTGGTTGCCATCAAGGTAGTGTTTGGTTTCTCATTGCTTTAGAGTGGTGAACTAATTGATCTTACTAGGGTATTTCCTTTTGAGACAGGTTCTTCCATTCTGACCATAATGACATTCTTAGTCAGACAGCCACGTCTGAGGGTCATTTCAGATCTACTTCTGAGTTTGAAAATCTGGCTTCAGTTCACATAGTTTAGGGCTTATACTTTAGTTAGAGGATTTAAAAATTGGTGGAGAACACCTATGCCCAAACCTTTGCTGACATAAACTGGAATGTTTTTTATAACTTTATTGGAGCTAAACTACAGAGAGAATATGTGACTGTACATTTGTATATATGTACATGTGCATAGATAAGCAAAGAGAGAAATAAATACTACTGAAAATGTGGAAAATATTAACAATAGCTTCCAAATACAATGTAAGGGAATAATTGGAGCTAAAAAATCCACATAATTCAATACATGCCTTCCTTCCAAGGATTTTTAAGAAAGAAGGTTCAGCTGGGTAAATGAGGATATTTTGGGTTTTGTTTTGTAATTTGATTTCCCAGATAAGAAAAACTTTCTCATTTGGCATATTTCAACTTTAAACATGTTGAAATTCCGGGACACAACCACATACTGAATTGCTAAATATTGAGACTCTCTCAATTAATTAACATAATTGGATTTCAAGCTTGGTAGACTAAGGCAAAAAGAGTCTATTCTTTATGAAAATACCTATGTCTTAATTTTTACAGGTATATAATTGCTTGCACTTAAACTGATCAGTTATTTTTGTAAGCTTGTAGGAGTTTTTACAGGACAACAGCTTAATTGTCTGTTACTGAAACTGAGGCTGACTTAGCCCTCACCTCAATGAAGGAATGTGACTTTACATGTTTCTAATCTAATTTAGACTGAGAAAACTAGTATTTACTTGGGTAGGACAGAGAATCTTTAAGTGATGCCAGACATGTTATCCATCTTGTATGAGTCTTTGTTGACCATTTAACTCCTTATCACTTCAAGATACTGCATTCTTGAGGGCTGCCAGGATTATTTTTCCACGTGGATTTGGCATCACAATATGTTCCACTGGAATGTTCTTGACATTTTCTTTTAAGAGTGAACTTATTCAAGTCAAAACTATGCTTGAAATTATATACATACATATGTACAAAGTCTAAGATGTAACCGTTGATTTTCCTTCATTTTACTTTAATACTAGAAACAAAGTTGTTTGCAACTGAGAGAAACCATACAGTAAACCTCCCTATCTTGTGGATTTCACTTGGAGAGCTGAAGTTTCTCACAACTGTGTTTAAAACAACCACTCTAGGATGCTTTCTGCAACCAAACATTTCTCCTCAACCCATCTTCTTTCTCCCTGGTGTTTTTATTTCCACCAGTGGCAATTGCATTTACTTTATTCATACTGTATCCCCTCCTTCCACAGAGACAAGGAAAATGTCACTGCAGCGTCAGAAAACAGGTAACGTTTGTTGTGTGTGTTTTGGCTTACCTCCTAGTCAGAGTTTACCTCCACTTTTCCCAGGTTATACTTACCTCAAAACCATTAAATTTTACACTGTTTGAGCAGATGATGAATGTAGAGATTTCAGCTAAGTGGATTTGTAGGCATTTATTTCTAATGTAGACTTCAAAAACCTATGTGAGGCTGGGCAGGCAGGGATATGTTGCTCAGAACTTACAACCTGAAAAATAAGAAGCTTTTCTCAAATGGTCTTGAAATGAAATATTGTCAGTTTGTGGTGGAATTTTAAGAAGAATTTCCATTTTAAGCTTTATTTAGCTTGGTCAAGATGTTTAAAATATCTAAATAGTGTTACCTTTTTGGTATTTTAAGAATACTTATACATCAGATTCTTGCATATCTTGATTGATCCTTGATGGATTATGAGGTTCCAAACATACTATTTCTGTAAGTAGGTACTTTCATTTCTAAAGTTGCTTTCTTCCAAAGAATCTCAGCACATTTTGCAGCTACATACAGAAATGTATTGTTTTCAATTAGTTCATATACTGAAACATACAAATACTGAAACACAGGTACTTCTTCAGTGAACCTGACCAATTGAGTAATGGAGCAAAGAAATGCCTCTTAGTTTGTCATGGAAAGAGCTCTCTGCTTTGCTCTGGCTCATTGATTCCTGCCTAAACAATGTGTAACCACTTTGTAATTTTCTTTTTTATAAGACTGCTCCCATTTGAACAATGGTTGCACTGAGTTAAAATCCAAGTGCAAGGATTATCATTACTAATGACACAAGCAATGGCACTTGGTACAGTAGGGAAAATTTTTATTTTTAATTATGTCAAAAGAAGGAAATAAACCTCTTTATTCCTGTTTAGAAATTGTATATAACTAAATTGGAAAAACAAGTAACACATGTTAGCATTTCACTAGCATTTTAATTTGTGTAAAATTGTCTTCAGGTCTATGCAGCTGCTCCAGTGAAATGTTTGGGAGTTTTGTTGTGGTTTGTTTGGGGTTTTTTTATAATTTTACTTTATTTTACCAGGAAGAAATTCTGATGTGTGAGTGTTAGTGTCATACTACGTTGCCTTAATCTTGTATTGTTTGTCATACCATAGCTTTTCTCCACCTCCATTATCATCACAGCTCTGCTATATGTCTTATTTTGATATTCCTAGCAATGTGATTTCCAGATTTTATACAAGGTACCTCTTTTAATTCTTAAAGCCTTTCCTGGTCCTAAGTGATAATAAGCTAATGAACTCTCAAGACTTGTCATGACTTCATTTGCTATATCATTATGATCTATGGCAGAAGGAATTTGGAGGTACAAAAAGAAGACACTGGATATTTACAGATACAAGTCTTCTTCCAGGAAAAAATAAAAGATGGAAAAACAAAGCCTTTATTATTAAACCTAGACTTTTCAGTTCTGAGGTTCAGCCCTTTGATTACTTTTTTCTTCTCTGCAGCCTTTACTCCATCTAAATAACAACTGCTATCTTAAAGGGCCTGATATTAGTTTCTAAAATGCTGTCTTATTTGGTATGATAGACAGCAAGCACATGTACCTCTGAAAACAACAACAAAAAAATTGAACAAATCTCTTTCTATTAAACCACCAGCTTCTTCCATGGTTGAAATTCTATTTCTCTCTCAAACACCTGCTATTGCCAAAGAAACTGGTGATGGGATAACAAATACCTCATTTACAACCCCATTGTAATCTTTGTTACCCAGGCCTACAGCTCCTACCCATGCGCCACAGTATGTGACCTCCAGTACTTGGCATCCTCCTAAGTCAGGCACCGCGGATGCCAACACTGAGCCAGTGGCCTCCAAGGGGTCTCTGGGGCTTGGAGCGGGTACAAGCCAGAGGGAGGCCAGTTTCAGCACTACTGGCCAGAAAGTCCCTCTTGCTTCATCCAGTAATCAAAGGTACACTGTGATGTGTAACTGCATAACTGACCTGGTTTGGAGCTTTGGAATGGTTTGGTAATAACAACCTCTAACTCCTTCTGTTAGAAATGCCCATTGCCTAAAAGGCAGATGTTCAAGTTCTGCAATTTCCATCAACATCTATTTCATGTGGGTTTTACATTGCCAGCAGCACTCTGAAGGATCACACCTAAAATACAGAGATGACAGTCATTAGGAACCTTCTGCAGAGAAACAGCAGCTGGTATCATTCACTGTCTTTCAAGAAACATCCCCATAGTCAAATGCAAAACTCTTCCATGTTATGTCTTTCACTAAACACCTTCTCCAGCACTTTTTTCCTACAAATGCCATGACAAGAGATAATTGTTGCTATTCCTTTTTATTTTTGTTCCCTATTATTTCCAATTCTTTACAAAAGATCTGTTGGAGGATTTGTAACAAAGAACTGCATGCATTACATCAAGTAGACTAAGTACTGCTTTAATAACCCACTCAATTGTTACTTGGAGAGAAAGTTTCAGAATTTAGGGCTCTACTGAAAGAAGTGTAAACTGCAGGTATTTTTTCAAATGATAGTGTGTTTGTTGCTGTGTTTTCTTATTATTATCCTCTTAACCTCTACTGATCTGTGTTTCTTTTCATGAGTGTAAATCAGCTGAGAAGAGGTGTGTGTTTGTTTTCATCTACATAAATCACTCACATTGTGCATTTTATGTTTGTTATCACAAATATGGAGATGTTTGAGAACATCCATTTCATTTTTCTTAAAATCCAAAACACTGTAAAGATGAAAAGTGTACAGAATGAGTGTATTAAAAAAAAACAAACAAGAAACTTCATAACACGTGTTGATGTAGCTGTTATAATACATGAACTATTTTATAAGGCAGCATTCACATTTAGCAGTTCTTAAGTCTTCTGCACCTGAAGAATTAAAAAAAAAAAGTATCAGATTGAAAATCTAGAAAGGAGGCAATTTGGGTGAAAAAAAAGTTATTTTCTTTGAATATCTAAAGAAAACTTTTTAAAATTTGTAGTTGTTAAACTAAAAGTCAAGTTAGTCTGAGTTCTTTCTATAAAATTGAGTAGAGAATTAATTACCAACTAATAATTTATGTAACCAGATATCACTGATTTTTGAGATTGTATCTACTCCACTTATATTCCAATTTCTTGTTCTGCTAATTAATCTAGTCTGCAGGAGGGTGATCAAGCCTCTAACATTTTAGTCACATAAAAAGAACTCTATCAAACAGCATGCAAGTTAAAATTGGTTTGTATTTTAAATTTTATGAGGTATTTGCATTTGTGTTATGTCTTTGTCCAGTTCAAATCTGTCTTCAGGTCCATGGCCAAACACATTCTCATCTTTTCTTTTTTCTTTCCTGTAAATATTTATCATTCAGTATGTGTGTTGGTTAACATTTTGGAGGTTACTACAACAATTAATTAACTTCACTGTTTTCTTCTATTCAAGGTATGAAGTCTTGATTCTTTTGAAATCTGTAGCAAACTCCCTTTCAAATCATTGAAAAAAGAAAGACAAAATAGGTGAAAACCTAGTTTGCGTTTGTTTTAAGGACATACATTAAGTTCCATTTTTATATTCAATATAGTGTCAGCACTCTCCTGTTTGCCAAATCAAAGATGTGCAAGTACTAAATTTTGATTCAACACCCTTTAATGTGGCAATTCCAGTACCCACTGTTGCACAGGCTGAAAAAAATCCTGTCTTGAAACTTGCTGACAAACTAGCCTGTGATCTGTAGCTGTGCTCTGTAACAGGCAGCTGCTCTTCTACACAATTTGTGTAACTGATCCTGTATTAGCTCAGCAGAATTTACATCTAATGCAAATGCATCAGCATGGAAGAACTGATACAAATTTAAAATCCATACTACGATGCACAAACTTGTGCTCAACTTTTGGTGTAATGATTTGAAAACTAGAATTGCAAACAGGATGAGTATTTTCAGGAGCTTACTTTTTATGGATATAATTACAGATGAAACTCATAAGGGAGAAAATACTGATTTCCTGCTTTTAGTATGGGCTGCATTCAACTTTGAAATGGGTGGGCATAATAGCCACACTTCTCTTTCAGCTAATGAAGCAGTAAAATACTCAGCTGAAATAAGACACTGTTATTTATACTACTAAACCATACAAGAAGGAGAAGAAGAGGAGGAGGACAGGGGAAATGGGACAGTCCCCTGAAAAGCAAGGGCTGTAATGAATTCTGAAGTACCAAGCACTCATTTTAAGTCCTGAGAAGTATAACTTGTTCAATCTGTGCTTCAGAGAGAGTCAGAAGGATGTTTTGGATAGAATGGCTGAAAGACAGAGTGTATTTTCACAATGGCAAGGTCACGTAGGAAGAAAAGCTGAGAAAGAATGTTTGAGGGTTGAGGTTTGGCTGAAAACGAGGGGTGGAACTGTAAGGTTTCTTTTGTTATTTGATACTTACTGTGCTCAGGAAATAATACTTTGGGCGTTCTTTGTACATTGCACAAAACGATCATTTAATTCCATCACTCTCACAGGAATAATTTGTAAGAGCCCATAGATGTGACAATATACTTATCACTTAGATCAAAAGAAGTAAAAGGTACATCCATGAAGTTCTTGTATCACTGCCTCAAGACAAGACAACTATGTCATGCACAGTAATGCTGTGATTAAATAAAAAGTATAACTAATAAAGAGAACAGATGTACAGCACAGTCGTATGGCGTCAAGGAAAATGTCCCACATGCACGGGGAATGTGTGCTTATACTGTCACTGAAGCTTGTGCCCCAAAATAGTATAATCTGAAAAGTCAAATTGCAATTTGTTGTTTTTTCAGTGGCTTATTTGCTCTATGAATAATAATTAAGAAAATGCTCAGTAAAATTGGCCTAAACACAAAATTAAGCTTTTCTCTTTTCTTATTTCCCCCTTTTAATTTTAGATGACCAAGTGACTTTTGTTAGATTTATTGACAAGTGAATAATGAATGAACATATGTTGTTACTAAGTTCATTGGAACATTTAGCAAAAATCTTGAAGTTGTAAGTCCATTTAATGATTTTTATTTCCTTTTTTTTTTTTTTTCATTTGATGTAAGAGCTAGTGGAAGGCAATAAACTGAACCTCTCAAAAGGTTGGTTCATTTCTTAGCACTGGTTGGCTTTGAATAAAGTCCCTTGCAAAGCTCTCTAATAGGTAACTTTGCCCCATTTATCTGTCGATAAGTTATGAATAATACTTTCCAAATCTGAGTGAGGCTGCAAGGCTGAAATATGTTAATAAGCACTGGGTGCTCTGATAGTAGGTGATGAGAGACACTAGTAGTTGAGTAAGGTACTAAAATCTCCACAGGATACAAGACTACATTTTTATTACTGTTCTTTTCAACTAATCTATTTTGCAATCAAATAAGGAGAAAATGAATTCAAAATTAATATTCCTCTGCTCTATGTTATCTGCGCCACAATAGCAGAAGAGAGCTAGAAGGAAAACAACTCATGCTTATCACCCAAGTGGTTTTAAAACTGGTGTAGTAAAATTCCAGGCTATCCCTTGCATTTTGCCTACTGCTCTATGTGTAAAGAGGGATCTTACTGTTTGATGGACTGGCCAGTGTAATGCAAGGGGAGCTAAGGTCAGAGGTTTTTAAACATCTTTCCACTACTTATATTGCATAAAACTGATAAAACCCAACACAAAACTGTACTGACTGGGCATCTAGACCATCAGAAAACTGATGTTACAAAAGTATGATTAGATTATTTAAATTGTTTTTCTTCATCTAATAAAAAATTTACTCCTAACATCAGCTCCAGGAGTAAGTATTGGGTGAAATTTATCCAAGTTCAAAGGGTTTGTGACAGGTTCTTTGCAACCAATTAAGTACTGCATGCAACATTTTCTACCACTGGCTTCAGTGGGAGCAGGACTTTAGTGCTGTGTGACTTGTGGGATAAATTTCAGTCAAGCAGGATCAAAAGTGCATTCCAGTCCTAACTGCACATCTGAAAAGGCCTAACAAGTATCTTTTTTTTCTTTGCATAATTGTGCTTTCTTTTTCCTTAGTAACACAGCCTGCTACTATGTTTGCAGCTCCAGGTTCAAACATAGTAGGTTTTATGCTCTACGTGTAAATACGCACCTTCTTAAGATGCTTCTTGTTTTATTTAATTTAACTCTAATTAGTACCCCTGTTGAGCATGTTCCAGTGTCTACCAGTTCTGCCTCTGCTCCTGCACCACATGCTTCAGCACATCAACCTGCTACTGCTGCTCAAAATACAGCCAGCCTGATGACACCACCAGCAGCCACCTCAGTAGTGCAAGAGTCTTTCTCATCCTCCTTCCAAAGGTAATGCTTCCTTGCTTGGTCATTGCACAGATATACCTCTGAATGGCTCTGAAAATGCTGCATATACATTCTTCAGAATGTACTATGTAAAAGTTGTAGCCTCTTCTATATGCTTTTACATAATTTGGTGTGTTGTCTTACTTTGAAGTACACTGTCCATGTTTGCAAATAATTTGCAAAATAAAATTGCCCTAAAAAATGTAGCTTTCAGTCTGCAACGCAGCTTACGTTTTCAGAAAGCACATCTAGTGTTAAAGCTAGAAATGTTTTTTCACGACTTGTAATACAATCAAAACAACTTCTTGTAATAGTTACTTTGGTTGAATGAAGGTTCCTTTAACAGGTTTCTGCAGTATTACACGAAATAGAAAATTAGAAAATGTCATTTACTCACACAATTGAGCTTACCATATCATAGCAGATGTCAGTAATACATGGGGGACAACAAGGAATATATCAATAAAACCACACATTTGATGATTGACTTGCTCTGTATGATATTAAGTCAATTAATTTCTATTAGACTTATCAACTCTCTGTAATGAGATTTACCTATAGAGCTAAAGTGAGTTGTAAGGAGGTAGGCATTCATAACACTTATAGTATAGTAGGAGTTAAAATTGTGTGTTAAAAGTTTTCAGTCCGTGAACAAACGTGGGATTTATACTGCTGTCATTTACAGTTCTTTTATTACTTATAGTAATTTTTGAGACAGTAGGAATGAATTCTTTTGGTGCATATTATTTTATTTGGTTTTTTTGCTATATGAACATTCCTAAAAGATGTATGTTTTAGCATGTTGTTGTGGGTTTTTTTTCCCTTGGATTTTAAAAGCCACTTCCAGTAATATAAATACTTCAAATAACTGAGACCTAAGGTGTAGTCTGTCATATCTTAGCTTTGTGTAAAGGGAATCTGAAATGTTCTCTTGGCTTTATTTCTTCTTTAATTTTCACTGGTTGTCTTACATGATTAATGTATGTCGACGACTTTGTTTCTTGCTTCAGTCAGCTTAACCATGACCTACCAACTCCCGTGTTTTTATCCCAGTGCAGGAAAATCAATCATCTAGCAAGCAAAGGAGTTTTGCATAAGGTATTATTCTGTAATTCCAAACTGTGCTGTAAGGCACTTTCACGTGAAATAAAGGTATGGATTAAATAACTTTTATTCCTCAGTTGAGACTGGCACATGAAGAAAATGGATCATCTAATATATGCTTCAAAAATAAATGTCTCTACTAAACTGATTATGCCAATGACTTGTGTTTTAAATCGGAAAATGTTTTGTCTAGTACTGCTTGCATATTAAAAATTTTAGCTTGAATGCAGACTCAAACATCTTTAGGTCTTGCAGATAAAAATGTGTTGTTGACCAAAGTTCTGTCCTGAAATACTGTCTGTCTTAGTTATCAATAGACTCTGGTTTTAAGATTTGTATATAATGTGTACATTTTGTCTCGTGTACTGTAGGAATGTGCTTGGTTGTGGTATTCTGTAAGTCTGCAGATGTGTGCAACAGAAAACATGTTCCTAGTAACTGTGCAGCAGTCCTCCTGGATCTGAACTCCAACAAAGCTCGATTCTGATGTCACTATTTTTGACTCTGTTACATTACTTTGTACATGCTTTCATGGTTTTTACTGTGTCTTCTGCAGAGTGCTTGCAGCCCCCAGCTCTCTTTCACAGTCAAAGCCTTTCCATGGGTCCAAGAACATGTCGTTAGCAGCTTCTACTATTTCATCTGCTATCTCATCTCAGTCTAGGTATATCTGTAAATCTCTCTTCTTTTGAACTTAATTTGGTTTTATTCTGTATTCCTTCTCATTTTTAAGATTTTCATCATCTTAAGAGATTGGCTTGGCAGAGACTATAGAAGAGCATGAGGCATTTAAAGGAATAGCCTTTTTGCTTATCTTTCATGTTAAAACTGAGCTAGGACACATGTCAGTTTTAGTTTTAGGGTATGTGACCAAAAGGTCCTTTTGGGACAAAGGTACTTCAGTTGGTGGGTTTGTGTCACTTTTGCCATCTTAAAATGAAAATATTTGTCTAGTGACTCTGTGTGAGAATGACTTTTTTTCTTGGTGAAAACAGAAGATCACTGAAAGCACAGACCTTTTATTACAATGTAACTAATGAAAGACACTAATAGGGAAAGTTACCATCTCTAGAAAGAGAGAATGCTGCTGTACAGCTCCACTGCTAAGCCTTTTCATTGCATTCATTAAACATTTTCAAGACTAGCAGAGGAAAAAGCAGCAGATTTTAAGATTCGTTATTTGAGCATAATCTTCAGAAATAATAAAAACTGAATCAACAGTACATGTGAGTTTATAATTATCCATGTCTCTCTTTTAATATAAAAAGGTAGTTAGGATTCACCTGAAGGCAGTGTTGGGCATGAACAAAATGTTGATGTAATCAGGTTTATATTATTGCCTACCAGACATCAGAAAGGCATTTTTACACTTGAGGGAAAAAATTCTATTCATTGACAATTTCTGGGTATCTTGAATGGGAGGGTACGAGGGGAGGCCTAAAGTAAACATCACATGTTTAAAATGTCAAATCTACAAATTTTGCAGTTTTAAGAGATGGCTTTATTTCAGAAATAAAATTTACTTTGGATTTTGTTTACATTATTCTGTGAAGCTGTCTGATTAGGTGAAGACAAACATGGATTTGAAAATTAAGAATGCAGCTAGTCAGGGGCACCATTCTCAACTTGGACTGTTCAGTTAATAGACTGTACTCAGAGTAAGCTAAAAACATGAGAAACCTGTATGAATATGTGAATCATAACATCATTTAAAATCAGTTATAAAAGTGGTAGATCTCTATAAATCTTTCAGAGACAGATAGTTTATGACCATGGAAAATTCTTAAAGTGAGGCTGCCCAAGCAGGCACCAGGCATGTTTTCACATAATGGTTAATGCCTGCATACATTTTTTTAACTGAAGGCTGTTCACTGAAGAAGCTTTAGTTCCTTTGTATTAATTGCAGAACTATGGAATAGACCTTCTGAATCCCACAACAGGCACTCTTTGAAGTAGGGTCAGGAATAGAGAGTATAATAGTTACTTGAGACAGATCGACAACTGCTGGCAGAGCTTTCATTTTCCAGGCCAGCTTCTGGTATAGTAACTCAATGCAAATATATTTTGTTATCTTCTGGGTTAAATCTATTCCTCCATAAAAGATCCATTTTAATTGCTGTCTTGGAAATGACAGTTAAGCAAAATTATGTATAATTTACGTACAAAAAGCTAATAAATTAGTATAAAGATAGCCATTATTTGCTGATGCTACTTGCGTGGCTGTTGTAGAGCTAATATACTGTTTCCTTTTACCATTTCCACTTTAATTTCACATTCCTTTCAGGGGAGAAGGGAAACAGTATGAGGCCTTGAAGCTATAAATTTATTTGTAGTTTTGTCTCAATATGGACTAATCAGTGTGAATCACATGTGGTTTTAATGAGTAGTGAGGATTAAAAAAATCACCCTGAGATATTAACACTTACTTCCAATTCCAGTGTCTTTTATCTCCTGCATTAGAATGGCATGGACCATTTTACACTTTCCTGCCCCTTTGAAAGAAAGCAGGTTGCCTGGGAAGGCTATGCCTCTCCTTTGTTAAAGGTTTTCAAGATATCACTGGATAAAACACTGGGCAGCCTCTGAGCCAACCATGGTTTGAGCAGGAGGTTAGTTGTTAGACCTCCAAGAGGTCTCTTCCAACCTGAAACCATCTATGAAAAACAAGTATCCATTCCAGAAAGCAATGTTTCAATCAGGCTACTAAAAACTATTGCTCATACCTGGCAATTATTTAAGTCAGAGATGTAAGATCGACAGCATAACAGCTTTATACAGTACTGCCCTAAAAGCCTGCTTGCCAATGGATGACACAGGCATCATGCTGACCTGCCCTTCAAGCTGTTATTAGCAGGCAAGTGTTACTGTCTTAGCTAATACATCTCTTGGGATTTCAGTAATTCAGCAGACCTTGGGACATAAAGACAAGTCAGAAATTTGTAGGACCTGTAAAAAACTGGTTTCCTCATAATCAGGTATAAGCAGCAAACTCTGGGTTTTTTGGGGTGGTTTTTTGGAGAGTGGTTGTCCTGGTTTCAGGCAGGATAGAACCCATTTTCTTCCTAGTAGTTTTACTTTTCAGTCAAGTCTCTTCTAAGTAGCTGCACCTGCTGAAATTAATAGCATTGTTTTGCAGCTGAAATAGGTTCTTTATCTTTGTGCACTACTTCCATGTTTGTTTGAAAAACTGTAATGTATTACACCTAATATATGCAAACATAAGGAACTAAAACTGGCTTCTAAATTAATTTATAATGCAAATTTCTGATTGTCTTATAGTTTTCATTTAGAAATCAAGCAATGCATTAGCATGCCAAAATACAGACATAAAAATACAGTTTCAGCTTGATATATATCACAGGACCATTGCAGCCTTTAATTTAATTTTAGTTGAAAATAAAAGATGGATGGCCTTAGTTACAGCAATGTCCCCATTCTGTGTAACATGCTCAGGTAGAATGAGACTGAGATTTTACCACCACTGTTCTAGTGTGTGTTGAGATAATTTTTTTTTTCCCTTCTAGATACCTTGAAAAAGTCCATCAAGAAAATACAGGAGTATTTCTTGATCAATGTCTTTAACTATTTATATGTCATTTTAAGCTTTGGTAGAGCAGTTCTATAGTGATTTTGCTTTTGTGAGCAAAGGCTGAATACATAACAACTCACATGAGTTAAATCTTTATAATGTTCCTAAAGAATAATTTTTTAAAATAAGTAATTAATCCTTAAGTGATCACATTATTTGTACTTTTAAATCTGCAATGTTAATCTTGCTTTTCCACTTAATGAGCTTACTCACAAAGAAAAAAGCCTATCAGGAGTGTTTTAAACAACTTAAGGAGCTAATCCTTCCATCTGGAGGGTAAAAGTAGTGAGACAGAACTTAAGGAAATAAATGATGAAGAGTTACAATTCTAGTTCTAAAAGGAAGGTGTAGCTTCTGTGGTTCTAGGATTTTAATCCAAGCACTGTCTGTGGTAAAGGGAAGGAAAACTCTTCTCCAGAAGCTGGGGGAATAACTGGCATATGATAGGCTTCTGGCAATTCTTGCAAATGTGAGCTGTGCTCCTGTGGGATGCGACTGTTGCCATGTAGCCCTGCACTGCTCTGCTTTCAGCCAGTAGGTGTGTTCATTCCGAATCCTCTCGTTTCTCAGGTCATATATTTTGCAGGTTTTTAAGCACTTCCAGTATTTACATAAATTAATCATCTATATTCTGAAATTATGCTGCTTCTCAAAAAAAACCAAACACCACAAAACTAAAAAAACAACAAAAAAACCCCACCACCCCAAAACCTCTATCTGTTTACCTAAGACTGAGCAGTTGAATGGTGCTTTAAGGGAAAAGTTTACATGATGGGTTGGTATTCAACTACTTCCAGCCTGTCCTTTCTGTGAGGTTTTCTTAGTTGGCTCATAAGCTAGAAAATTTAATTGATCTTTGGACTTTGATTCATTGCAGACAGAAGATTTGATGTAACTTACAAAGACACTGACAAAAAGGAACTCATACTTATTTTTCTGTGCTAATACAAATAAATGGTGAATGTCAAAGCAAGCAGTCCAGTGGTTGAATCAGAATTCTACAACTAAAGAATGAGCAAAACTGGATAAGGGTAACTTATGGAGCAATGTGCTCAGCTCATTTATTATTGTTACAATTATTCCGTTTTCAGCATGATTCCTAGCTTAAGTAAGATAAACAATATATAATGTAATACTGCTCTTATATAATTATAAATATGTACATGTTGTTAAGAGCGCCTCTGATTCATAAGGAAATTCACTGTAGGACAATGTATCCCAATTTCCTTGGTGTACTTTTTCAAATACAACTTTTGTCTCATTTTAGTTTCAACCGGCATTCTTCCACCTCCATCAACTACCAGTCAAAGAGGTATACAAATGTTTTGTGCAGCTACTGTACCTTAGAAGCAGTTAACAAACCAGTTTATTGCTGCTAGTAGGCATCTAGTGAAGTATTAACATAAATATTTCTAAGCAGATAATTTTTACTTTCTTTTTCTGACAACTAATAGTGTTTAGAGTCAGTATTTAATTTGCTGCCTGTCACATGCCATTGGCTGCTACAGATACATTCAATAAGGGCGCTTTCACTGCTTTTCAAGATGCCATTGCTTCCTCTTCTATCAAAGCATCTTTGATCCTTATGACATCTTTTTATTCTTTCTTTTCTATATATTTTTTCTCCCTTTTTCTTTCTTTTAATCACATGCTATTTCCTTTAGCAGAAATTTTGATAAATCTTTTAACTTCACTAAAACCCTTAATGATGCATTGTAACACTTTACTTCTCTTTGACAAGCCTATTTATCTTCCTTATTGCATTTAATATGCATCATAAACTTGCAGAAGAGTTCAGCAGTTGACTTCTTTTAATTTTGCCATGACTTTGGTACTATTAATATTTTTTGTGTGTGTGTTGTTTTTGGTTTTTTTTCAACTTCATTGCCCTGAACATACAAGGAAATCTGGTGGCATGGTTTTACCATGCTATTAACATTAGGAAACACTTGAGTTGTTACTATTTTCCTTCATGACAGTCTAAGTATCCCTAATCTGGCTCAGAACTTCTTTATGCATTTTCTGCATTAAGAGAGCTTTACATGAGTCTTTCCAGCACACATCTTGGAGCAGACTTTCCTGAGTGTATGCCAACTTCAGATTAAGGCTGTATGATGCATAATTTAATATCTGTTCATGCATATTGGAAATATTGATCCCTGATCCTGTGAAGGTTAGTATGTTTTACTGGTTTTCTGTCTAGTTTATCTTGAATATTAGATTTTAAAGCAAGGGAAAGCCTTTTGCTAGTGTGTATTTAGCTGAAGGCATTTTGAAAGCTGCATGTGAAGTCAGTGTACCTGAAGTGTACATTTTCCTGTCTGTGCTACGGTAGGAGTAATGGTCCTCTGTCCAGTGACTCCAAGTACAGTGTGATCTTATGCACTACAGATGAGGAGGTACGAACGGAAAGTAACAAGTCTTCCTGTGCTTAGAACAGCTTTGGCAGTTACAAAATAACAGCACGGGTCACAAGGAATTGACACTGAATACAAATCCACTGAAATAGTTTATCTTGGAGAGTCGGTTCACTCATGGTATAGTGGGCCCAAATCCAGCCCTAAGCCCTAAATTAGGTACAGAAACAATTAGCTATAGTCATTGTAACAATAGTTGAGTTTCTAGGTCTAACTAAATAGACAAAATCAATTAGCCTGAGGCAGCAATGTTATGTGAACAAGATCTGTAGTATAAGCATGTCAGAGTAGGAGAAAGCTATTTTGTAAGGATAGGCTTATTTTGTTCAAAGTTAAAAATAAAAAGTTTACATTTGTCAAAATGCCTTGCTGGCTTTGCCATATATGAAAATTACAATATTGTCTCCAGGTGGTATCTATTTCCACTATTAAAGAAAGTGTAAGTCAGGTTGGACTAATGGTCTGGCAAAGCTGGACGGCTTTTTTCTTATGCTGACAAATATTTTCCTATAGACAAAGCCATTATGGAAATAACTCCTGAACTGTCAGCAGAAATGGACAGGGATCTAGTTCATACAGATAGTGAAACTGAAGGGAGAAAGAAAGTAAAACTGTGTGATAAAGGTGAGAATGATGTTCAGTAGTGAATGGTTTTTATTACTGCACACATCTCAATATCTGTTGCTCCACTTCCTTGTATTTCTTTGTCTCTTGCTTGCTTCCTAATGCTCTTTTAGTGGTCTAAGAAGTAAAATCACTACAAATAAAATCATCCTTAGTAACAGGCAAAGAGAAGAGGCATATTATAATGCATTACCGTAATCAAACCGAGAATCACCTTCCAAGCCATAGAATAGAGAAAAACAATTTATTATTGATGTTTGGAATATAAATGTTTTTTAAAGGTCACTGCAGTCTTTCTGAAAAGAGTACAATGCTTAAAAATGGTACTTAGTATTTGTTGTAGTAGTAATTCTGCTCAGCCAGTATCATTTTAAGTCAAGATACCCCTCATTGATTTACTTTAGGCAAGAACAGGCTTGTTTGTTTGTAGACGGACAGCAAATCCAAACTTTGTATGTGTGTTTCTAAAGCCTGATCCCCTGTCAAAGTTAGTGTTCTTTTAATAAATGTCATATTATTTCAGTAAGCTATTTTCTGTGACAAGAGCAACTTGGCATTATTTTAAATCCTTATTCAGCTAATTTTTCTTTCCAAAGAATTGTCCAAGACTTTCTTAGCAATGATAAAGACTAATGAATCTCACAGCATTCTCTCTGTAGCTCTCAAGGACAGTTCCTCTCGGAGTGCTTTGGAAGCTGCCATATCTGTTATTTCATAATCAATAATTTTTGTTGTTGATAAAGTTGCTCATACCTGCATTTTGCTTTTAGAAACACGAGCCAGTCATATACACCAGTCCCAGTATCAGGACTGCTGCTTCTGCTGCTTCGAAACAGAGAGTTGTTACAACTGCCAGCATAAAGCCCTCTGTCTACCAGCCAGGTAAGGTGACTTCAAACTAATGAAAGGATTCAGAAAATAAATGTGCATGCATTGGAACAGTCTGCCCAGGGAAGCTGCGGATGCCCCCTCCCTGGATGTCTTCAAGGTCAGGTCGGTTGGGACTTTAATACAACCTGGTCTACTGGGAGGTGTCCCTGCCCATGCAGGGGGTTTGGAACTATGTGATCTTTAAGGTCCCTTCCAACCCACTCTATGATTCTTTTAGAAAAAGAAAATGCAAAGAATACAGCTTTTGAAATAGGACGCACACATATCAGTAAAGAATTACATACATGGAACCAAATGCTGCTAGTTGCTAGTTTTGCTTCAAATTATCTGAAGATCAAAGATGATGGTGTATTTGTATTCTGCTTTAGAGTGAAAATGTGGAACAAGAGTAAAAGCAAGGGAAAAACCCTTAGGAATAGCTTAAGACTGCACAACTCAGAAAGGAGATAGAATAAGTGAAGGTAGCTTGAGTAGGATATATTAGCAAAATACATAGGGCCATGTATTCATATATATTTGAAATAAAGAAGGACCTGTTAAAGTACTTTGTGATGCTATGCTTCCACTTCCCACAGCTCCAGTTAGTGAAGGAATATATTTCATTATTCATTCATATGGAAAATATGCACCTAGACGTTATTTAAATTCCCCTTGTATTGATGTGTTACAAATGGAGGGAACTTCTAAACTAGTGATGACCAAAATATGAACCTTCAAAATGAACAAATTAAATGAGGCAGCAATATAAGTCTAAATGCAGTTCTGTTTCAAATTAAGCTTGTTCTGATCTTAGAAAGAGAATTAAAAAGTTGACAGTCTTGTATCTTGACAGTCAAGTAAATATGAAGAGGCCAAGAATTCTAACAATCTTAAATTCTGTCTTCTGCAATGTTCTGTCTCTGGATCTACTAAAATTAAACCAGTGCAAACTAAGACATAAAGCAGACAGACAGATGAGTTGAGTGATCTTTGTATTTGAGATAGAAAGGTGAAAAAAGCCAATTCAGAACTATCATGAGCTATTTAAGGATCTCAAATTGAATAAAAGTTTGAGCTTCTCATTTGCTTTTGGTTAAATGTGTCAGTATATACCATGTTCTCCTTGAAAGCAAATGTTATTATTTTTATATTGAAAAAAAAAAAGGGAAAAAGGAAGACAGAGGATTTATTTCCATAATGCAGAACAGAGCAAACTGTGGCAAGTCAAAGTATCTCCTAAATGCACTGATTGATACTAAGCCAAATGCTCATTTGGGGGAAGTATAAAGTCCAGTTCTCAATATACAAATCTGCCACAGAAGTAAGTTACTAGCTCTATCCAATTAGTAGCTGTATCTGTGAAAGAAAAAGCTGGCTGTTGAATTAGACTCAGAATAAGAGGCAATGCTTTTGTTTTTTCCTGTGATGGGAGATCATCTCTGCAATTTCTTATACTGCTGGTTTTGAGCCCCATTGTATCCCAATTAAGGCTTAAAATATGGAAGTATGGAAGCTATAACCTATGTCACTATGTATCCAATTAACTTACTTCAACTTCTATTATTATCTGTCTGTGCTGGAAAACTTTTACTTTGCAGGCACTGCAAGGATATAATGTACTCTAGAAGACAGTAGAAAATTCAGAATATTATATAACACGTTACATTACAAAGACAAAATTTAATTAGCATTAAAGTTGGCAGAGAAAGAAACAGTAAGTTTCCCTGTGTTGTTTAGGAGTTTGAGATACACAATAAAGGATTCTAAAATACCTCCACAATTAAACCTCAAAAGGACACAGGTACAAAAGAGATTAAAGAAAGATATTTTATTGAAGATGTCTGGGTTTTGTTTTTAGAGCTTTATATATTTGATGTAGTAGCACTTTATACTGGTTTAGGAACATAAGCTGGCCCTAAAGACAGTTGCAGTCCTGATCAAACAGGAAATTTTCACTTGGGAAGTAATGAGGGAAACAGGGTTTCCTGTGACAGATGGGAAAGCTCAATAGTACTGTGAAACAAACTGTCAAGACAGTTAGAAAACCTCCTCACCCAGCTTTTCCAATCCATATAAATTCTGTCCTTCAGTGTAAGATGCAGCCTCAATTTGAGAGGACCAGCTGTTCTCAAATTATTACAATCACAAAATCAATTTTTTTTCTTCCAGTCTTAAGTGCAACCTCAGACTTTTGCAGTAACTGCACTCTAACTTCAGCAAACAGTTTCTTAGACTTCTGGTTTTGTAAACCCACTGTGTGAAAAAGCAGAAATAGTGGAGATTGCTGTAAAGATTACTGTAAAGATTTGCAGTGTGGAGTTTGGAAGAAGAATGTATTTGTGCTAGCACTCAGAGCTAAAGAGAATGAGATTACTTGCTTACCTTAAAAATGTGGGCCTGCAACTTCAAGATGAAAACACCCACCAATAGGCTCTTAAATGCAAAATCCAGAAACATGAACTAACCACTAAGAGGGTTCACAAGACTATTATAATCTGTCTCACATTGAAAAAAAAAATGATGGGGTTGAATTTGGTTAAACTGAAACCAATCTCCAAATGAAACTGCATTGTTGAGTATCTGGCTCAGGTAGGAGTAATCAGTAAGTCTACACTTTAAAGGAAAGAAAGACTGCTACTTTGACCTAACTCTGGTGGGAATTTTCTGCTGCTTTGTTGTCTTCCTATAGAGAAGACTGTGAGCTCCATAATCTTTTCCCTTCTCTGTCCCATAAATTTCATAACCCGTTTTTGAGAATAGATTTATTTTCTGAACAAAGTCCACTAGATGGCAGTAAGAAAGCAGATCTTTCCTTTTAAATCCTTAAGTCCAAACAAGACTACTCATGTATGCAAAAGTGCTCAAGAGTAAGGACCTGATCTGGTCTTTTAGAAATTGGTAGGAAGATTCCCACAGATCTCAATGAACTTTTGACTGAATCCTAAGTATGCTCAAGACTAAAATAGTAGGCTATATAATATATTTCATTTTATATTAGTCTAAATAAGAATGCTGTCTTCTTTTAAAGGAGTTGTTGCATTATCTGATTTGCCTGTTTTATACTATATACTGGAAACGTACACAGGAAAAATTTGGGCTTCAGTGATGTGCCCACAAGCCAAATAATTGTGATTATGAATTATATTTGTTACTGGAGATAATTGCTAAGAATAACAATTGTGTGTTCTACTAACAAAGGAAGTAAAAAACAAAAAAAGAAAATTGTTCTCACAGTGTCAGCTAGTATGTAAGACTAAAGCATTTGAGACTGTGAATCTTTACTAAATTAATCTTTGGTAACATGCCTTTTTTATCTGGAGGGAAAATATCCTTTGACCACTAAAAAGCTGATAGGAAGAATTCCAAATTTCCCAGAAGCAAGGAATTGGCTTCTTTCTACCTCTGTTAAGAAAGCTATCAGGATAACAATAGTCCAGTTCTTTCTTTCTTACTATAATAATATTAAAGGCCTGAGAGAAGTGAAGTGATAGAGGCTGGGTTATCGAATTATTTAAACTATTTGTTTCTGTACAGTGAAGGGTCAGCTCATATAATAATGATACTTTGAGAGTCTGTTCTCTGACATACTGAATCTTAGTGCTTTTTACCAGCAAACAGCACCTTTTAACTGCTGCACATATGTTCAAAGACACTGAAATATATAAACACACAGAGTTAATTCAAATGGCAGAAGCTGCTAACACAAGAGAGTATTCATATAAACTTAGGGATATAGCTATAAGATAACAAGGTAGTAATTCCCTTTTCATAGAATCATAGAATCTTAGGGGCTGGAAGGGACCTCGAAAGATCATCTAGTCCAACCCCCCTGCCAGAGCAGGGTCACCTAGAGTACATCACATAGGAATGCATCCAGGTGGGTTTTGAATGTCTCCAGAGAAGGAGACTCCACAACCTCCCTGGGCAGCCTGTTCCAGTGCTCTGTCACTCTCACAGTAAAAAAATTTTTTCGGATATTCACCTTGAACCTCCTATGCTCCAATTTACACCCATTACCCCTTGTCCTATCACTGGTCATCACTGAGAAAAGCCTAACTCCGTCCCCCTGACACTCACCCCTTACATATTTGTAAACATTGATGAGGTCACCCCTCAGTCTCCTTTTCTCCAAGCTAAAGAGACCCAGCTCCCTCAGCCTTTCCTCATAAGGGAGATGTTCCACTCTCTTAATCATCTTTGTAGCTCTGCGCTGGACTCTTAGCTAAAATATCAAAGTTAGTGAAACCTTTCAAATACATTGCAAGGACACTATTTTAAATCAATAGTGATTTCAGCCTGTTCACAGGGGGGAAATATGTTGTAATAAATCCAGCCTGTAAAATTAAGTCATAATGGCCAAAAAGAGAACTCAGAACCATTGTAAACACACAATATTTGTCATTTTGCAGTAATTCCCCTGATACCTTCTTTTAGCAACTGAAAAAAAAATAAAAATACTTTGCTATTTTATTTTACTGTGGCAAGTAGAACAGATAGAATTAAAAGAAATAGAAGGCAGAGAGAATGAAGGACAAAGATCCTTTCACAGTGTTTATCCTTCAAAGGAGTCTAGATTAATCTGAACTCAGATGAAGCATATACTGTCTATATTGGTTGGAATAAACACTGGGAAGATAAAACACTGATATTGTGAGATTAAGGAAGAAGAAATGAAAATTTAAGAGGTTGTAATCTGAATTTATTGAAGATAATGATAGAAAAAGACATCAAAATGGTACCTGGACTGCATTTGTTCTTTACTTCTGGAACTCTGGGCTTGAATGTTTGACCTTTTTGTTGGGCCCCCAGTGGGATACACTGCCATGTTTTGCATGAACAAGAATTGGCTCTTAGGGGAGGGAGAACCCTTTCACAAAATGGATTGAGCTAGAAGTCACTTTATTTAATTAGAGAGCCTCATCATTGGGAGCCTTTTGAACTCACCAATTAGAGATGAAATATTGCCTTCTAATTTTGCCTAGCTTAATACTGTAATACATAAATAGCAACAGCCCCAGGGTTTAAAGAGATTGCATATAAACTTGCTGTTCTGAAATCTTTAAACACTGTTTACCATTCCCAAGTTTAAAAAAAAAAAAAAAAAAGCCTCAAGCTAAGGTGGGATACAATTTTATGAAGCAGAGACTTTGTTGATGCTGAAGCATAAGAGTTTTATCAAGAAGATGCATTAGATTCAACTCTGAATTCAATAAAGAAGAAAATCAGAGATCACTGGGTGATCACAGTGGATTGATATATATGCAATTTAAGCACTTGAAATTTGCAATAATCAGTGTGTAGGTTATTCTATGTGGCAGGGTGTGGGCGCGGGAGGAGTGTTATGTAGAACAATATCTTCTCAACACTTAATTATCCAGGTAGATCCGTGTTACATTTGGAACTCACTTCTTGGTTGAAATACCCTTGTACCTGCAAGTGCCTTAAAACTGTACATGTTGTATTTGGTTGTCATTTTATCGGCACTGGGATCTACTACCCAGAGTGTTTGCCTGGACTGCAGGAGAACTGGCTTCTGTTCCTAAATGTGTGCTCTCTCATTTGGGCCAAACACTTCAACTCTAAGCTTCTGTTCCTCCTCACACAAACGATAGCTCACTTTGGGTTTTTTTTTGCAAAGGAAAAACTGCTTTTAGTGCCCCTGTACTTGGCAAAGTGAGGCAGTTTCTTGGGCAGTGACTTCAGTCCTACGCAATGCAAGGTCTGATGTTTTGAAAAGAGCAGGGCAATGGGAAAACTTGTCGGTATATGCAGGCTGTGGCTTCTGCTTATTTTATGTGATAAAGCTCCACCCAAGATTAGAGTCTGGTGCACACAAATGCAGAGGCAGTCTGCTCTTAAGATTTTCTGTGATAGTCAAAGGGTGGAAGAAAGGAAGTGTAATATTCCTGTTTTATACTTGGGAACTGAGGCACAGAGATACTACGCTTTGCTCGAAGTTATACAGGAAGTCTGTGGCAGAGCCAAGAGCTGAGCTGAGATCAGTCATAACCACAAGTCTGGCCTTCCTCTAAGTGCTGTTGGCTTTGTTTTGCTAGTCATGTGAGTTGAATTGGCTCCCTCAATATTGCTTCCAGTGCTCTCTATCTCAGTGTTCTCTGTGTGAGCCTGTTGTTCTGCAGAAACCTAGGAGTAAAACCTACAAACTATAGATAACTGTGACATCTGTGGAAAATGCAGCATTTTAATGAATATAACAAGATCAAAATGTAAGCATAAATTCTTATTGAAATTATGGGGAATTCCCTGTAAAACTTTATCATACGATCTGGCCTTTCTATTTTTAACTTGTCTGAAACCAATTACATGGCAGTCTTTGAAATTATCACAGAATTGTCATATCCATTCCTACTAGAAAATCAAGAGATGCTTTTGAAAATGGTCTCCATAAAAGCCAGTACACAATGACCTCTGTAATGCATGTGGGTTAAAAGTCAGTGATTGTGCTGATATCCTTGGCTTCAGTCCAGAGCTAATGAGCAATAATGGGACAGATCATAATTAACTGTCATCTAAAGTTTTTATTTTTTGTGTGTCAGAGTACCCATTGGTAAGTGTTACTGTTTTGCCATTGAAGAAAAAACTTTAAAATCCTTCTTGTTTGTGTTTTTTTGGTTGTTTTTTTTCGAATACTTAAAACAGCACCAACACCAGTTCATTCCTACACCCCTGCCAACGCTGAGCCTGCAAGCCGTCCTCCCTGGGTAACAGATGACTCCTTTTCCCAGAAATTTGCACCCGGAAAAACCACCACCACTGTCACAAAGAACATCCTACCAAGGAGTGGTCCAGTACCATCCCCTGCCCCAACTTCTGCGTATCCATCTTCAGGTTCAACTTCTTCCCAGGCTCCTGCAATAGCCCGGGGAACAGTTCAGAGGGCTGAGCGTTATCCAGCCAGCAGCCGAACGCCTCTCTGTGGGCACTGCAACAACATAATTCGGTAAGGGCATGAAATTTTGAAGAGGGAGGAGGCAGAAGAAAGTCTCAGAGGCTGGATATTGTACATTAATATATAGTACCAGAGCCTAAGACTCAGTTAAATTGCTCAGCAGGGATGTCTGTTTGCTACCTCATTAATTTAACATTTCCAGATCTCATTTTGCTATTCTGAGGCTTGCTTTGTATTGCTGCAAAGCTATATAAGCTAGTGTTTGTTTCTTGGATGCTGTGGCAAATCATTGTTTGTTTCTTAAACAAGCTTCTGGTCCTAAGGTACCCCTTGAAGGAGGTACGTACAACTTCATTGGGATGGTTAAGGGTTGGGGGGTAGAATTATGGAGAGAAAAGAAACGAGACCTCATTTTAGAACAGCAGCCAAATGTAATTGTTGCTTTTGTGTCTGGAGAAAGATAATGCCTACACTCTGTTACCAGTGATTCATAGCATGCCTCTCTTCTCCTCTCCCAATTCATTCTATTGGACTTGTGCCCATTGTTACCCTGTACACTGCTAACCAACTTGCAGTAATCCATGTTTAATGACAATCTCCTCCACTAAAAGGAGCTAGTTTGGTGATGTGGAACTGCTGATTTTTGCCCTTTATGTATTCTGAAATGGAAAGACTCCAGTAACAATCACTGTAGCCAGTTAAAATAGACTAAATCACTATCTGCATTGATGCATCTTCCACATAATCAAACAGCAAGTTGTCATCTGACAGTTTGACATTTCTAGAACATGCCACATGCAGTGCTCTTTCAGATGAAAGAAGGCAGGAGACTTTAGGAGCTATTGTGACGTGTGGGTGTGTAGGTTTGGAAATTTGCCCGCTTTTCACGCTTGCAAATAGTAGTGTTATCTTGCATGTTACAACCTTTGGCCTTTTCTTTGCAGATGTTTATAGAGACCTCTCGTAGCTCTGCAGCTATAGAAACAATTGATGATTTTTCCAACAGCTGTTTGTTGCCTTTGACTAAACAATAATGAAACATATTAACCTATTGGCAAAGCATTTGAGTCATGATCTTGAAAAAGACTGGTTTTATTCAAGCTTCTGGATCTTATTTCAATATGCACATTCATGGTACAAGCAGAATGCTTGTTTCATGTATATGCAGTGTCTAACAAAGTGAGTTTGTAATCAGGGTAATTCAATCTTTTTGCAATATAAGTAAGATAATTATGATTGTTTACAGGGGTCCTTTCCTGGTAGCTATGGGTCGCTCTTGGCACCCAGAAGAATTCAATTGTGCTTACTGCAAGACATCTTTGGCTGATATGTGCTTTGTGGAAGAGCAGAACAGCGTGTACTGTGAGCGCTGTTATGAACAGTTCTTTGCACCAACCTGTGCCAGATGCCACGCTAAGATCATGGGGGTAAGAGAAGAGGCTTAACCCTTTCTCCATTGTGTGGTGCACTGAAATAGTTCAGACTGTAAACAATGAATGTAAAGATTTAATTATTTACCCCCTCTGTAATAATAATTTTCCAGCATGTTGGAAAATTAGAAACATACTATCTTGTCATTTTTATCTAACCAAAATATTGGATATTTCTGTACCTCACTCAACTCTGAGACGGAATATGTAATTTCATTACCATCTCACTGACTGTAAAGTAACACTTTCTGGATAGTTCTTTACAATCTGATACACACTGTAGCTCTTTCTTTTCTTTATAGCAAGAGACTTGATCTATTCTTTTTTTTCCTTATACAGCAGTTGGTCTAAAGTTCAATAGAAAAGTCAGTGATAGAGAGCATCTGTCATCTGTTTAGTGGCCAGCCCAGCCTTAATCCATGGCACTTGGGAAGGGGCCTATTGCTCTTGATGCACCTCACTGGTAGCTAGCAAAACAGCTGGCAAGGGGAATTGTGCTGACTTTTTATAGTTAAGAAAATACAGAATAAACATAAAGATCTGAATTCCAAAAAGGCAGAAACAGATGCCACTTTTGACTGAATGCGCTCATGCTTAGGTACAAGTAAATTTGCCTTACATATACCTTGGATGGTAATGAGTTTGGAATACCCTAAAATGATTTTAGCTATGTATTTGTGCATGCTGTTAGAGTAGATATATTACATGATTCTCTTAAATGAGGAAGCAAGGAGAACCACTCTTTTTTCACTGTTTAGCTGTCAACTTTTGACATCTTTCTGAATGTTGATATGACAGACAAGATGCTTTTCTCTGCACTTGCCAATTAGGGACAAAAGCATCAGACATCTATGGTGAAGCTCTGGCTCCAACCAAGTCCTGCTTGCTACTGCAGCAGTAGGAGTAATTTTACAGCAGATTACTGACTTAACTTACCTAATTAATGATGGCATGAATCAGTTCCCCATTCATTTCATGAGGAAAATAGCAAAGATGCCAGCTGCCTCTATTTATATTAATAAGATTTCTGAAATCTGTTTTTTTGCTTCTTAGCTCAGCGAGGCTCGTAAATGGATCCAAACCTGTTTATCAGTGATACTTGTTTTGCAAACAGTAATGGAAGTTAATGAATCTCAAATAGTGATTCTCTAATGAGATATAAGGCAAACATAAATTGGACTATTTTGTCTATTCACTGGATTGAAAGCAGGGAAGAGGACTTTAATCCCTTTTGTCACAGTCAATGACAATGAAAAATCTTACAAAAAGGAGAGTCAGAGTCTGCATGTACAATTGGAAGCAACATAAAGTAGGATCTAGATTCTCAGCTGGTGTAAGTCAATCCTGCTTCACTGAAATTAAGGAAGTTAATTAATTTATAATTTAATATGAAATCCGTACTGTTTGACAGAGATACACAGTCAAACATCACCTTGGGCACAATTAAGTTTGACAAATTAGCAGGTAACCATGCATCAGAGCTCAGTGCAGCAGCTTCTGGACATGCAGGACTTCTGTATGACAAGACAAGAATGAATCAGTAATAGAGATTGCTCCATCCTGATAGAAAAAAGAAGCTGATAAAATCTATATACTCAGTTCAAGAGAGTATCAGTTGCACAGAATTTTTTTGTGATGAACATATGGCCTAGGAGCAGACATGCAGGTTCATTTTCACTAATCACATAAGTCTAAAATGTAAGAAACTTTTATATATATATATATGTTTTTATATTAGTTTGTGAGGCATTCTTGTGAGAAGCTTAAAGAATTGGTGTCTAAGTTGCTTTGGAACATTACACTTAAATCACTTATGCCCTTCTTGCATTTCTTGGTCTTAGAGAGAAAATTACTCTTCTAACAAATGATTCTCTTGCATTGAAGAGTTCATACTAGTTGTGTCAAAACAAAGGAGAAAATAATCAGAATCTTTGTGCAGAATCTCTCCTGCAACAGTGACTGGGCATGTTGATACAAACAGCTGGCTGAAATATGTTGCTTCATTTTGGCAAACACATTGTTCTGGAAAGTTTGCAGTCCTATTTCCTCTTTCTTTCCAAAGGAGCCCAATTTCTGTCATACTTCCTTCTTTTGAGGAGGGGAATTGGCTGATACAGAAGGGAAAAATTTAGAGCATCTCTGCCTTGTATTTTTCTTTAGAAGGTAGTTGCAGGGCATGCTGTTCTGCTTAAGATTTGTCGTTTGTTTGTTTTGCAGGAAGTGATGCATGCCCTAAGACAGACTTGGCACACAAGTTGCTTTGTCTGTGCTGCATGTAAGATGCCATTTGGGAATAGCCTCTTTCACATGGAGGATGGAGAACCTTACTGTGAGAAAGGTATGGTGAACTAGACAGTTCTGCTCAGTAATCATGCACTTCACGTTGTATGGCAGCAACATAAGAATAAAGCAGCTGATGAACAAAATAAAATCAGTAACCTATCCAGCATGGATTTTGTTTCCACTCTCCACATATATGTGTTAATAACTTTATATGATGGACTGGCAGAGAGCACTGATCTTCTGCTTCTAAGTCCCAGAATGCCTTACCTCATTTCTCTCCCTTCTGTATTATGATCCTTACCCCACAAATCATAAATCCACTCATGGAAACTTAAAACTATCCTTCTATAGAACCTTTAAGATAACAATCACTGGTTATTAGATGTTTTTTTGTATGACCGTATCTGTCCCTACAAATAGCTTCCATCTACATTAAAGCTAATTTAAAACTAATGTGAGAAACATAACTTTAAATTTCATTAATTTTTTGTTTGTTTTCTGTGTTTGTGATGACAACTGCCATGCTGACATGGGGTGTTGCGCTGCGTTTATGTTTGGATAATGAAAGAAAAGCAAATTTCAGTGTGTTTCAGTAGTAGGAAACTGAGCAAAAACAATGAAAAAATTCATCCTCTAGAAACTTTCTCTTTCTCTTGGACTTGATGTGATAATGTTAAGAGTTTGTTCTAAGTTTGCTTTTTCTTTTATTTTAGATTATATTGCTTTGTTCAGCACAAAATGTCACGGCTGCGATTTTCCTGTTGAAGCTGGAGATAAATTCATTGAAGCTCTTGGACACACTTGGCATGACACCTGCTTCATTTGTGCTGTAGGTTCTATCCAAATACTATCTCATTTCTTTATAATCATAAATTGTGAAGACCTGAAAGCGGGAATGACTAACATATGCTTAAGGATGCAGAGGGATTTAATTTCATGTGTAACTTGCAGATGGACAGGGATGGGAGTCATTTCTCTTCTCATCCATAAACTCTTACTAGAACTATTAAATTTGACCATCACAAGCAAGCACTTTCTAATAAAACAGCCAGTTTTAGAGAGTTCATACTGCAATATATAGCACTATTGCTGTTACTCTTTACAACATTTACCAAATAAAGACAAAGCAGGATTTAAAATAAATTAACACCATACTGAACAGTATAACCATAATCTTACTTATAAGGCAGCATAGTTTGTATTTCCATGTTGAATTCTATTGAAACTTGCAAAAAAGAGCCTATTTAGACAGAATGGATAGTAATTAGCATAGAAGTTGGTCAAACTCATCAATCTGTGCTGTGCATGCAGCTATATAGTGTGGCCATATTCCCACATTCTGCACACAAAGTAGTAAAATCCATATGATAATCAGTGCTTTTCATATGGTTCTAATACAGCTGTGCTGCTCTACAACATATTATTCCTAAGGAAATAATATCTAGAACCTCTAATTAGCTAAAAATAGTATGTTGGCCACACCAAAAAATGACAGTGACAATTTCTAATGTTTGCTGAACTCTAAAATTTAGCCTGAAGAGTAGAAAGTACAGCAATGTTTATAAATATCTAAAGCTAAACTAGCTACTTGTCTTTCAAGGGTACGGAGAAGTGGGTGACAAAAATATCCTGTGAAAATTTAAGTCTTTTTGAAATTCTATCATACTAGAAATGTTAAGACAGTGAGTTTCTTTCACAAACTAACAGCTATTAGTCTGAGACACTTTCTCTGAATATTTTGTGTTCTTTTTCACTTGTTCATTTAACTGCATTCTCAAGTATTTATTTAAATTAGCGACCCAATTTTTTGTGGAGGTGACAGTTCGGTTAATGCAGTTCTCACAGGAATTTTGTTATGAGCTAATTTTATTTCTTTTACTGGGTTAAGGAAAATACAAATAAATGCATGACTTTTAATTTCTAATAAGCTATCCTCAGGTACTTCCATGTGATTTTCCTTCCACTTGCAGTAGCACATCACTGATGGTCTTAAGCCTGCTGTAAGCATTAGGAATAGTGTTTATTCTTATTCCTAGACTCTAATGTGTTGACTTCCTTAAGAGGTTCTAGTCAACTCTGACCTTGCAAGTGGTGTTGCACTACCTTGTGTAGACACTGAACCAAAGCAGTTTAAGCTGAAATAACCTGGGCTGTCCTGCCTCAGCCATGCATTCTCACATGCTTTGTTATATCAACACCAGCACTTATGCAGCCAGGCAGAGAACTCTATGGGTTGAAGAATAACCCAGTAACAATAAGTAATTACTTTTCAATGATACCAGCTGTCTGAGTGACTCACTCCTTGATCACAAAAGCACCCCCAGCAAAACGAAGTAGTAACGAGAATGAGCATCTAACGATACCACGGCAGGATGGTACCCCTGGGGCCCAGGCACCTAAACAGAGCTTTTGTGAAATCATACCTTACATTCATCAGAATCTGGGTCTTAAAGACCGAGTTAGCTGCATGTGCTTCAGTGTGCCACTGTCCTCTGATGGACTATACAAGCACTGTCAGGACGTGCTGAAACTGCCTAGGGTATTGTGTACCCAGACTTCATTTTGATGGAAACTGGTGAACTTAGTGGGTAGTGAGTGGTGGCAGGAAAGTACAGAGAGGAGAGCTGATGGAAACCAGAGCCTAACCTTAACCTGGAGTAGGCAAACTACCAAGGCATGCACTTTGATCCAGGAAATGAGATGCACTCCCTTCTGCCAAAGCAATGTTTGAACAGAAGAGAAATACAGTTGAAAATAATCTTTCTCTCTTTTTTTAAATTATTATTCCTTATTGTATTTGTTTTTAATTCCAGGTATGCCATGTGAATTTGGAGGGTCAGCCGTTCTACTCCAAGAAGGATAAGCCCCTGTGCAAGAAGCATGCCCATGCCATCAATGTTTAAAAGAAGAGCTGGTACACTGGAGAAAAACAGATCACTAACTGGGCAATTATAAAGTTGATAACCATGTGTAGCGTTTCTCTTGGTAAAAGCTAGGAGGTTGATACTTCTGAAATTTAATCACTTTCATAAATGCAGAACATGCTTTTGCAAAGTTCATACAAAAAACCTACTGAATGAACAGTTAAAAAAATGACTGGTTCATTATTAGATCAACAGTTGGGGGAAATATTGACATTAACTAAAAACTGTAATATAAAAAGCACTGCACAAATACAGTTTCAAATTAACAACCCCCAGCAGTTTTACTGCTTAGACCACACACTAGTGTTTAAAAGCAACTGGAAAAGTCCTTTTGTTATAAGCCATTTTCTTTCATAACAAGAATGAGTAAGTGCCACATGTACAATCATCTGTAGAACCGAAGGCTGTAGCTTTCAAAGGGAAATAGATCAGGTTTTCCTCTATGAAAAGTGAGTACTATTCCTTTATACTGTGGTGCTACCTCATAGCATCAAATATTTTAGATTCTTTCCAAATAAGAAGTCTGCCTTGAATCCATATGTAGCTGGAAAGCCTAGGAGATGATCTGTAACTTAGTTTGAAAATAAAGTGGAAACAGAATTAACTCCTTCCATAACTCAGTACAGTTGAGAAAAGCATGCTGGGTCAACCCTGCTAGTGCACTTGTCTGATAACATGCGCAGTAGATTAGTTCACTTTCACATCATAATGGAAAAGGACAACTGGCTTTCTCCTAATTGCTCTTATATTGAATGGAAGGGAGCTGGCTGGCAAGTCCAGCTTTTAATTTGAAACCAGTTTTTTTTTGCTCTTGTGGAGAAAAATATTCAAAATTGCTTTGGTTTCTAATTCAAATTGCTATCAGTGGGAGGCAGGAATCTACATCTGGACCTTCTACATCTGGACCTTCACATGGACTAACACAAAAGGGACACATCCATCTAACACAGCTAGGAAGTGGGAGATAGCTTGCAAAAGTTCCCTCCCTACTTTATCCCACATACTTAGGCAAAGAACACCTTTCCCCCCCCAAAATTAACATTGATTTAAAATTCATAAGGCAGCATAACACCACACGGGCACATACTCTTTAATACTTATGTCAGTTTAAGTGCAACACATCCTGAATTGTAGTAGTGTTTGCCATTGTAGAGCAGCAGATTGGCTGCAGCAATTAGGATAACCATACAGTGATCTCTTCTAATATTTTAAAAACAACTTTCAAGTTGTTCAAATAGTAATTTTTTATTATTTTTTTTGCAAAAGAGAAAATACCTCTAGTATGGATAATACTTTTGAATTTATTTTTTAAATATTAATGACAATGGAGACAGTGCTGTCTGATAGAAAATCAAGTCTAAGTGCAAAGTCTGATCATTATTCAATTTTTATTAATTTCTTCAAGTGAGAATGAAGATGTGTATGTTGACAGCTTGCAGTACTCACAGCTTTGAATTAGTATTTTTGAGGCTGAGAATGCATTCTGTGGCTCACATTCTGGTGCCATCTGCATCCTATTTTACCTTGTATTACATCACATAGCATTGTTTGCCTTTTCCCTCTGATGGGTAATGGTCATTTTAAGAGAATTGGTGTGTCTTTTCAGGGGTGAAGAACTATCCAGAGCTGGGAAAGGAATAAAAGACATTCAGAAGTCTAACATGAGAGTTAAGTTAGCTGCGGGCAGTCCGCATCTTGGACAAAAATAACGACCTGGACTGCCTGTAGCAGGTTTTGAAATATATGACCTGTATTTATTAGTAGGTATCTTAGCTCTCACTGATCTGAGTGCTACAGGATCAGATTTTTGTATGCATGAATTATTCCAAAACACTAGTACATTATATGCAAAGCCTTTTTTTTTTCCTATAGCAAACAAATTTTCTGTTTTCAGTTGGTGCTGAGCTGGTGTGAATATGGTCCCATTAATTACAAAATCCAGCTATCTGGCTCATAATATTCTTACGAGGACTACATTGTCATAATGGAAATTAAATATTTTGTCACTTGTATTTGACTTCATTAAATACCTTTTCATAACAATAAGACAATTCTACATTTCCTTTTAATTTTTGAATGGCATTCAACATAATATTGTTTATTACTTTGTTATTGAAGAGAATTCATATCAGCATATTATATACTAAGACTGCATTGAAGATACTTTTTAGGCAGATTTCTGTGTTACCCACTGACTGGGACTAGTCTCTTACTATTAACAACAAAGCAGGGAGTCAGACTCCTTGGGAGGATGCAAAATGTTAGCACTTGTGATGCCTAAGTAGAATTTAATGAGGTCTTTTCCCTCTAATCTGTGTGTGTGTCTTCCTCTCCTCCTTCCCTGTCCATTTTCCTAAAAGCTCCCTTTTCACTGGCAGTGTGAAGAATAAAGCGTTTTAGGAGATGGTTAGAGCTGGCGAGCTGCAGCTTAGGCAGGGATACAGTCTGTGCAAAGATGGTGGTAGGCAGCACAGCTGGGACTGTTCTTCTTCACATTCACAGGGAAGACAAGGTTGTCAGCTGAAGTGACCCAGGTCAGCCTGTGAGTTGCTGGAGTGCACAGGGGTGTTGGAGACAGGCATCTCAGTATGGGCAGGAGAAGGGAGGTTTGGATCAGAGAAGGGAGATCACCTGGGTTGGCCAGAATGCAGAGCTTCTGGTGGAGTGTGCGTGCCCACTAGTGACGTTGTCAGTTCGTGACAGTGTGAAAAGGTGAGGCATTGGGAAGGGGGAAGCCCTTACTTGAAGCTGAGGTTGGAGGGGGAATGGCTAGGTAAGGCCAATTTCACTAAGCTGACATGTTAGAGTTTAGGTGGGGTAGAGGGAGGGAGGGAGGAATAGGTAGGATCGCTCACTAGTCAGGGAAAGGGCTTGAAGCAAGAAGTGAGAGTACAAGTAGCTTACAATAGTCCAGAGAGGCAGCATAACTATGTATAAAAGAGGTGAGCAAGGAGAGGGGGTACAGGATTCAATCTAGTCAAGCTAAAGTCGGTACTACAGAAAGGCAGTACACAGTAAGCACAGCAGAGCAAGCTTGCAGAGTGACAACACTGAGTCCTGAAAATCTCCTTTCTAATGGCAGCCATACTAACTTGAAAGCGTCCTGAAAATTTCCTTGGATAGAGAACCTGCACTGTAACACATGCCCCGACTCCAGATGGTGTCTGAGCAAGTGAGATGAAAGCTAGTTTACATATCACTATATGAGATACAGTGATATCTCTGAATGAAGAACAGAGATACCCTGAGGATTATCATGTAATAAATTTCCTGTTTTGACTTGTGCTGCTTCATAATGTGGTCCAAAAATAGGGAATCCACTTACCCGCCCTTGAGATCTATATTGATATGATTTTTTGCACATATCTGAACCAGAAATTTGTGAATAATGAGGTAGTATTTTAACTTTCACAGGGGTAGAATACCACATAACTGCTGATACTCTTCTGCTACATGTTACCCTTGTGATATAGAGGGGAGAAAGATGTGCATATATATATATACATATATATATATATAAATTCAGAACCAGGCCCTTCAACAATCACTGAACATAAACACGTTACAAAAATATGCAAGATTAATGTTGTAGACTTGTTTATATTTTATGTCTTGTACTAGATGCCTGGGACAAGTCCTAAGTTACTCTAAATGTTTCTTTTTATTCTAATTAATGTGAGGTTTTACCTAATAAAACAAAGATACTGTACCTCTGAATGATCAAATAGAAAGACCAGTCTTTTATGGGATTAAAAAAGTGTTCAGTAACTTTTTGGTCAAAGGCTTCAAAAAATATTTTTATGCTTTTCATCTTTTTCTGTTATTTTTGTGAAACAGGATAAATTTTTTCTTGAAAAAAGACTGCTTAAAAGCAGTCTGAAAGAAAACACTCATGACTCGTTATGCATTTGTAAAATCAATACAAAACCAGCAAAAAAATTTACTTTGGTCCTTCGGTGGTCAGTACTTTGGGTGAAATGTTTTGTTAAAGATTATTTGTATTTATGTTTAATAATGTGAATGTCCACAGCACTGAACAGACTCATTAGTGTCTAATGCTGGGCACACTAATTTTTATCTGCAATACTTGTCTCCTAGTAGCAGATACTAGCTTGTTTAGTATTTATAGACATCAGAATTTCAAACTGAGTGATTTCTTGCCTGCAGTGATCATATTAGAAGTCTAGGTTTTATAATATATTGACATGTTGACTTGATGCCACAAGTGCCCTTGCTTTTAAATATGTATTTTTTTCTTAAGTTCTTAGTTATTTCAGAAACAGAATGTAGTGTGGTTTATGAGGTGTGAGTAACTACCTTGCATGGATTATCTGTGCCAACATGAATAAAACAGTCTGGTAATAAAAGGAATGTGTAAATACAGTTAAACCTTTATGATTTGTGCATATTTATGTGGCATTTGAACAGCTGACAGCTTTCAGCCATGTAATACTGATAAGAAAGCATACACAAGCTTGTACTCTCCACTTCAGACCTGAAAATAAAAATTAAAAGCATTGGTTTTGACCTTAATTGTATATCAGTCTTTAATGTTTTATTAACCAAATAAGACTGTTTTAAACAAATGTTAGTATGCTTAAAAGATGTAGTGTACTAATAGTACATGTTGTAACTTAGCAAGACTTGTATAGTCACAGGCCTTATTGTGTCAACAAATATTGTTTATAGTAACTTTATAAGGAATGGGTAAATTCTGTCTTAGGTTACATCAATGCACCTGGGAACAAAGTTTGATTGCACAAGTTCAGGTGGGTGTTCTTCCATTTCTTAGCAGAAGTTACTTCAAATAATTACAAAATGTTTAAAATGTCCTCATTGAGCTGTAGTGCCAAGAAACACTTCCCAGTGAAAGGGTATCTTCATGTAAGTGTGGCTTATAAAAGCAGCCATTTTGTGCATTCCTAATACACACGCCTCAGGAATGCAGGATTTTTTAAAGATACAACTAATTATATTAAATCTAATTAAGAAGTTAGATGATAAATGGACAGACTTGGCTTTAGATGGCATTATGAAGTACAGCATCAGGAATTGCAACTTTGTTCGCTTTTTTTTTTTACAGCCCTAATTTCTGTTAGCAATGTGCATACAGAAAATGCCAATTCAAAAGAATGAACAGAA